TTTTAAGTTGTCTTTTTAAAAAAAATTCCAGTGATAACTGGAAATATTTTCCCCTCTCCACTTTTCAGGTCCCAGCTTAGTTCCTCAAGGAAGCCTTCTCTGAGTCTCTCTACTCTGTCAGTGCCCCCTCTCCACCTCTTCATCCTCTTCCATCCCATACCTGTTCTGGTCCTGGGCCGTGTGCCCCCCATCTGGTCCTTACCTTCTCTTCTCTGCACTGATGACCGATCTCTGCAGCCTCCCAGGTTAAGGAAAGGAGACTCTTCGTCCCTCTTGGTCTTGAGTAATGTCTGCGGAAGGAGTTGTGTCTCCTCTCTGGCTCCAACTTCTTCAAGAGACCCTGGCCCCCAGCCATGGATTACACTGCTTCCCCCTCAAGAACCTCCAGCCCAGGAGTAGCAGTGAATTCCTGATTACCTTGCCATCTCCTCCTGGGCTTCTCAGCAATTCCATCCTTTTTGTAACCAACTCCTGGCATTAATTCCTTGCATGTTTACAAACTCAGAGTTCTCCCCCCCCCCAGTAGGACCCTGCTGGATACACTACATTCTGTCCTCCCTCTCGTTGCCTTCATCACCTGGAATGACTCAAGTCCTCATCTGGAGTCACTTGGTCAAGGTCTGTCCACCCACTAGACTGGAAGCTCCCTAAGGGCAGGGAGAGGTCAGGAGGTTCTGCACCCCCCAGGACCTGACACAGTAGGTGCACAGAGCACCACATTTGTGGTGTCTGCAGATGCGAGCTGGGACGAGGTCATCTGACCAGTGGGCGATTAGTGGGGGTCCATGGAGAGCAGGGGTGGTGAGCCAGGAACCAGACAGCAAGGGGTACAGGCAAGTGGGAGCTGAAGCAGACACCCAGAGTGCCAAGAAGTTTGGGAGTTGGGAGGGGAAAGAAGGTTGGGCCAACAGTGTAGGGGAAAGCCAGGCCAGAGGGTTTTTCAATTATTATTTGTCTGTTTTTTTGGCTGGGGAGACTTGATCACATTTGGAGGTTGAGAGGAAGAAGCTAAAGGGGAGGAGGTCAAGGGCGGGAGAAGCTGGGACACGGTGGGTGGAGCACATGATCACAGTGGTCTCTTGGGAGGATTAAAGCCACCAGAAGGGTTGAGGGTGGTATGGAGGGGAGAGTGGAGGCAGGGAGGGGAGCTAGGAGGGGATAACCAATTAGGAAGTAAGAAGAATTTGCGTCAAGCCTTAACCCAGGGCTCCCTAAGAGGGCACCCAAGTTGGGAGAGGTATCAGAAAGGATGCCCGGGACCTGCTCTTGGTAAGGTCATTTTTGCCCAGTGCCCCACAGAGACCCCCAACCTTCCTTCCATCCTTTGTGGAGATGGGCACCTGTTCTTACCCACATCACCATGGCTCCTCCTCTTCTCCAATAACTCTATGGTTCGCCATGCCCCCTTCCATCTCCCATGTGGGGCGGAATTGGTGGGAGACAGCCAAAGTAAAACCTCCTCTCCCCCAGGAACATCCACCCTCAGCCCCCAGTCATCTCTGATCTCAGCCTCACATCTGAGTTCTTCTCAAGTATAGCTTCAGGACCTCACAGGAATTTGGGGCCCGAGACCCACAGACACTCAGATGATTCACTAGCCGCTTCTCACTAGACGTGGCTGGACACCGTGAACTGTGCTGACTAACGCAATAAAACCCAGAATGTAATTTCCTTTTTTCCAAAGCAAACAGAAGAGGAAAAATGATCAAAGGAGTTCCAAGCATTGTCTCATTGAGGCACAAAAGGCACTCACTCTTCTACAGAACTGAGGGGCAAACGGCTCCTTGAAGTCCAAAGGCTCCTTGCAGAGTCCTGCACGCAGAGGGGGCCAGGGGCCCTGGGGCCACACCTGGTTGGAATCCCAGCTCTCTCTCTTTTTTTTAAAGATTTATTTATTTATTTTAGGGAGTGAGAGAGCATGCACACGAGCGGGGGGTGGGGAGGAGCAGAGGGAAAGAATCTCAAGCAGACTCCCCACTGAGCACGGAGCCCCAAAACGGGGTTTGATCTCATAACCCCTAGATCACAACCTGAGCTAAAATCAAGAGTCAGATGCTTAACCAACTGAGCCACCCAGGCGGCCCCCGCTTAACTGTTACAGCAAAGTGACCTTACACAAGTCACATCTCTCTGAGCCTCAGTTTGCTCATCTGTGAAATGGGGGCGATAATAACAGTACCTACTCTATGGGGTTAGACTGTAAGTGTTCTCAACGGGGGGGGGGGGCGGGCAATTTTGCTTCCTTGGCGACATTTGGCAATGTCTGGAGACATTTTTTGTTGTCACAACTGGGTGTGGGGGTAGTGTTACTGGTGGCCAGTGAGCAGGGGTGCTGTTTAACATCCTACAATGCATATGACAGCCCTCCACAACAAATTATCCAACCCCAAACCTCCACAGTGCCAGGTTGAGGAAGCCCATACTAGAGTGAATATTCAGGGAGACCACACTCACACGAAACACTTAGAAGTGTCCGGTTACGCTTTTGCAGGTTCTCAAAAAACAGAAGCTGCTGTTCTTTTTAGGAAGAGCACAGTTTACCCCTTTCCCAGACCTGAACCATTGGGGCAGGATATGGAAATCCTTGAGTGCTGAGAAACTGGCTCACTCCTCCAGGTGTGAGTCACTCTGTAAATGTCAATTTCTTTTATTTAAAGCAGAGCCGGGGCTGCACAAGTGACTCAAGGCTAGAAGCCTTTCCAGGTTACCGTGACTTAACTGGCTGGACTGGGAGGAAGAGATTTTGCCCTGAAGCTCTCCTTCCAGGAGGTACAAGCATCTCAAGTTTCAGAGATTCCAAGGTGCTCACCGGGAGTGGGAATTGTGTTGTGTTTCACCTCATCCCACACACAGTAGGGCTTGGAGAGGCCAGAGAAAGGTAGCTGAAACCAGGAAGTCCCGCTTGTCCTCAGGGTCTTCCTCACTGGTCTGTAGGGGTTTGTCCCTCTGCTGCAACCTGATGCGAAATTCTTTCTTGGGAGTTGCAGCTCTGGGTCAACACGTCACTCTCTCCCACTGACTCACATTAGTGTTAGTGGATAGATTTAAAGTCAGATCATCAGGATGGGGTGGTGGATGCATGCAGGGGACCCAAACCCAAAGAAGTGTCAAGGGAAGCCGGGTAAAGTACGTGGGCATTGGGTGTCTTAAAGGAATGATGGCAAGCCAGGGAGCGTCTGCAGACTCTGGGCCCATGCCCACGTTGTTCCTGAGAAGTGGTGTGCCCAGAGGCAGAACAGGTGGTGGGAGAGGCAAGCCAAGGATCCAGGCTTACTGATACCAACCTGAAAACCACCATCTGGCCAAGCTCCACCTCCCGCAGAGTGACTGACATGAAAAACCCTGGGGTGGGCAGGAGTTTTAGGTGACCCCAGCTTCCTTCTTGCCCACCATCTCCGGGTCAGTGGCAGAGCTGGTTATGCACGAGAGACTATCCAGCTCCAAAACACGGGCATTATGAGGACCACAACTTCAAATGCTTCGGGGGCCAGACAGATGACATAGCTAAGTGGTTGGATATAAGATAACACATGCAGAGGCTGGGAGGAACTGCAGGCTCTGCTCTAAGGCATTCAAAAAAAAAAAAAAAAAAAAAAACACAACATTCTGCCAGCCAAACAAAACATATCTGTGGCCTGAGTGTGTGGGTGAGGCCCTTAGGTTGTGAGTTTTCGACCCCTGACTAAATAAATGGTCTTCCCTACCCCTCCAACAACAGAGATCTCCAAAAATAGGCTTTGAGCTACCGACTGTTTGAAAATGAGAGCTCCTGAGCAGGTCTTTGCTCTAACACCTCCAGAGATGAGATGATCCTTACTTCCCAAGACAACCTAGGATGGGGCCTGCCTGCCCCCACCCCTAGAGCCAGTTACCAGACCTGCCTGCCATAGACCGCTGAAGGGGGTGTGGTGCCCCGGTGGGGGGGGGGGCTTTTACTCTGCAAACTGTTTTTAAAAGTTTGTAATTTTTTATTACAAATAAAAGATAAGCTCACTGTGGACACACTGGAAAATACAGATACGCAAAAGTTAGAAAAGAAAAAATACCCCGACCTCCCTAACCACTCCCCCTTCCCCCAGTCAAAAAGAAGCACTGGTGACACCTTGGAGCATATTCAGATTCCAGGTTCCTTTTCTCGCATAGGTAAAGTTCGAGTCTTCTCTCTGGCCCTGTGACCTGTAAACCCAGCTGGGAGATGCTTCGTGCAGCGCTCCCACCACGTTGCTTCTCTGGCTGTACAAAGGTGTTGCACCAAACCATCCACAAGCTCTCTCATGAGACCTGGGTTTCAACATACAGGTCTGACCCATTAGGCCCTAGGCTCCCCAAGTTTCTCAAGGGAAGGCACCAGAACCTGTCTTACTCGTCCTCGGGAATTCTACAGCGCCGGGCACACAGTAAGTGCTCAATAAAAGTGCTTCTAAGCCCCCCGCCCGCCCCCCTCCCCGCTCCACACCTTCCTCAGCCGCCAGGGCTAAGTGCAAAGAGGAAGCAGAACCAGACCCAGGAGAGAGAGCGCCTCGCCGTCTCCAAGGTAACCGGAGTCCAAGGCTGGGGTGCCCACGCATGCGCACACTTGACCTTCCTTCCCGTAACCTCCAGAAGCACGCAACCCGTAAAAAAAAAAAAAAAAAGACTGCCAGAGGCCCAATGCGCATGTGTGGTTACACCAACACCCTGGCCGCCTCCGCCTTCTGTCAATCTGTCCGCCTAGCAATCTCTGCTCTATAAACACTGTCCGGAAATAGTGCCCATTTCTGGAAACGAGGCTCTCCTAGCCAATCTCTGCTAGGGGCTGTACGACGGGACCAGCGGGGACGCGCCGGCTCATTGGTTAGACTGGAGGAGTGGGCGGGGCCAAGGGTCGAGGTGCGGCCAGAGCAAGGAGGCGCGAAGCAGGGCAAATCTGCAGCCGCCGGGGGAGGCGTGGCCCCGGGGGCGGCCGGGAAGGCGGTAAGGGGGCGGGGCTCGAGGCCGGGGCGGGGCGACCGTAGTCCCGCAGCCCAGCGGTCGGCGGCCGGCGGCGGGAGAGCACGGGCGAGGGGAGCGCGACACTCGCTGGTTGGGGAGATCGGCGCTCAGCCGGTAGGTGACTGGGCGGGACCGCGGGGACCGGAGCGGGGCGCCGAGGGAGCGGCGGGGATGAGTCGCCCCTCAGTCCGGGGCCGGGCCGCGGCCTGGCCCGCCGCCCGGAATGGTGGGGGTCGGCGGCGCGGCCGGTCAGATCCACTCGCGTGGGGGCCCTCGGCGGCGGGCCGCGAACGCTCGCTTCACGCCACGCTGCCAGGGCCAAGGTCGCACGCAGTGCTCGCCTCGCACCCCCGCAGGCCGCACACGCGCCCAGAGCGCGCGAAGGGGCGCCCTGCTTCCCCTTCCCCAGCAGCCCCTTTCCCCGGCGCTCACCTGCCCCGCCGCCAAGCCCGCCCGTCCTGCTCCTCTCCCTGGGTGCCCCCAGGGTGGGAACTCGCCTCGGCTCCGGGATGAAAGGTGGCCGATGCACAGGCGCTCCGGGTCTGTGCGCCCTCCCACCTGCCCTGGCAGTGAAACCCTCGGCCTTCCCTTGGGAAGTTCTCTGGTCACACCCGGAGGCGGGGAGAAGGCGCAGAGCCTGCCCTTGGCACCCAGCGGGGCAGTGCTGGCCACTCTCAGCATCCTCTTTCTTACCCTGACCCTTCTGTAACCCTTCTGTCCGCTCACTCAGGACTTGATCTGTGGGCTCCGGTGTAATATTCCCACCTGGGAAGCCCACGGGGCACCAGGCAGAAAGAGGCCTCTTGTACAGTGCAGACTCCCACCTGCCCAGAAGCCTCCTTGGTGATGGGTAACTTCAGAAAAAGCGTTTCCTTCCAAATTGGAGTTTTAAATGTTGCCTTCGGTCTTAAAAGGTGAACGGGGGAAGTAGTGTGGGGAGAAGAGGATGAATGGAGAAAATGTACAGAAATCAGTGGCGTAAGTGGCAGAATTATTTTTGTTCACTGGAGACAGTGAACACCAGTGACTTGATTAAGGAATCTAAAAGCAAGTGAAATTAAATGATGAGAAGTGGGGCCCAGTACAAAATAGCAGTCTGAAGTTCATTCCAGGAAAAATGTTGAAAACCCCTTGACTAGAAACATGGTCTGTCTGAAAGATTAGAGGCAGATAGTATCTTAACATTAGTGATGTGTTTTTTTTTTTACTCTGTATCTTCATACCTGTAACCTCCTTTTTCCTTCAGACATCTGGGTGAAGACGTAAGACTGTGTTGTCCTCTTTTAAAGGTGAGGTACCTGAGGCAGGTGGGGGGGTTAGTATTCATCATAGCTAGAACTCAGGGTGAGGAGCCTGGGCCACTGGTGTCTTACCCAGGTTCCTTTCCCTGGACCAGGACCACACGATGGGACTTAGTTGCAAGAAGAAGGGAGAAGTTTGGTGTGGTATTTTTGCTCTCACCATGAGAGGACAGGTGCTTGTGCTTATGATGTATTTGGATTTACTCTTGGGTGTTTTTTAAGTGATGTCAAAGTCAGTTCCTTGGGTGCAGTGATGCCAGACCTCTGACATCTTTAAAACATCCTCCTTTATTTTGAAGGGTGTGGTGAACTTCTCTGAAGGTCTCAAAAATAAAAGTTAGAGTCTTTGACTTTAATTTTTGAAATACGTACCCAGGTGTATGTTCCAGCCCTTTTGTAAAATCAGACAGCAATATGCTGCCAAGCTTTAGGTCACCTTCTGCCTGTTTTCAGATTATAAGGAGCAGTTCTAAAGGGGGTTTTTTGCCCCTGGTATTGTCTGTTAGGGTTTGTGGGAGCGGCACCACAGACAGAGACCCTGCCAAATGAGCCTTCATCTATTAAACAAAAATGTCTGGTTGGCCGTTTCGCCTCAACAGATGGAGGTTTGGTTCCTCATTTTGGTTCTCCTGTTGAACACTGACTCCTTTGTGATCTGCTTGGAGTGTTTGTATATCATTTAATGTTGAGAAGCAGGCTTGCCCTGATTGGTTGTCCAACTCCAGGCAACTGTTGTGATTTTTTTTGGTTCATGGTAACAGTTCATCCTGGCCAAGGTCTGGTGAGAGATCTCTGTAGAGATGGGAAAGGCAAAGCTTCATCCAGGCTTGTTTTCTTTGTTGTTGGCACCCTCTTAAGAGCGTTCTATCACTTTGGCCCGAGAAGTCACTTTGAATTTCCTATTTTTTTTCCTGTCTCAGTGGATAGCACATGAGCTTTTCTAACAGGTCTGCCTGCCTTGATGAAGAGCTGACAGATTCATATTTGGTTGGCCTGACAGATGCGCTTTCTGGGAGGATAGTTAAGAAAAGTGTAGAACCAAACTCAGTCCTAAATTAAAAGTATAAGTCAGCTTGATACTCATATAGGCAGCATATTTGTACCAATGGCTTCCATCATCTCAAAGCTGTTTTTTTTTTTCCTGGCAAAAGGTTAAAATGCAACTAAAATTCTGCTTTCGTGATTAATAAGTCACTACCGCAGTTGTGTCTGATGCTTCCTGTTTGCCCCATTTTAGTATTTCAGTTAAACTGGAAACATCTGAGCATTATGGGCACTTTTGATGGCACCGGTGTGAAATTGGCGGGAAGGGAGACAATTCCATGTCAGTGGATTTGGGGAACTGTAAGGATAAGCCAAGCCCTCTGGCCTCTGCACACGATGGGAGGAAGGGAAAAGAGTGGGGGCTGAGCATCCTCAAGGGGTGGGATGAGCGTTTGAAGTGATGCACGTGTGAAGGCTTTGCATGTACTTGGTGATGCTGACTGAAATGTTGAAAGCAGATTAGAAATAGAAAGCTAAACTTAGGGCAAATTGGGTAGTAGAACATTTCAGTTGAGCTGAGTGAGACATTGAAGTATGTTGGGTATGGAGCCTTTAGTTCTTGGCTTGTCTTATTTACCCGAGTGATACTACAGAGAAAAGTCATTTTTCCTGAGTGGCCTGTGTGCCCTTCTTTGTATGAGTTTAAAAGATCCTCTTCCTGACTTGCTGTTTTACGTCATTTAACCCCTTATCCTCCTGATAGAAATCCCTTAAAATTATATGGCTTCAAGAGTAATGGTACTTTGTAGCCTTTTTTTTTTTTTTTGCTATTTTTTTATAACACTAGTGTAAAGAAAGGCAGGGCCAAAGATCAGGAAAAGGAAGCCTCGTAAGGAGGAATGAAGTGGATGAGATTACTCAGGACGTCATTGTCATGCCCAGAATCTAAGCCCACATTTCTGGACCTCTAGTTCACTGCTTTGTCTACTAACCTACTCATGAAAGGTTAAATTGGGCCCCCCCCAAAACATGCCAGTTTTGAATGTAACTAAACCAGGCTGGTTGCTTTATTTATCTATTTATGCTAACAAGTATTAATAAGTATTGCTAACGATTATTAACTGGTGTTGGTTATTCATAATTACTTATTAATAAAAGGCTGAAAGATGAAGAGCACATCCTCTGGATGAATCTGCTTATCTTCGTTTTACAGATGCAGAAATTAAGGCAGAGTGGTCAAGTGTTTTGGCCAGAGCAATAGAGCAAGTCTGCGGTGTCTCCAATATCAAATGTGGGGGTTTAGGCTGTCAAGTCAGACAGACCTGGGTCAGGTCCAGGTCTGCCACTGTCTGCCTGTGTGACTCAGGCAAATCACTTCACTTCCCTAGGCATTGGGTGCCTCATCTGTAAATGGGATCAGAAATACTTCATGGGGTTGTTTCGAGTAGAAAATGAGAGAATATATGTAAAGTGCTGAGCTCAGTGCCTGGCACATAATAAGCCACAGAACGTGACGCCTATAAATGGTGATGGTGGTGGTCGTGGTAGTAATAGCAGTGGTCCTCGTTGCCTTTTTTCTGTACGATGATGTCAGGAAGGGTCAGACTGCCTGACAGGGCAGAGTCATTTTCTCAGGAGGACCTCCGGGGGGGTGTTTGTTCTGTGTAGGGGTTTCGCTGTCACGTTCTTCCTGTCGTGTACTAAATACTACCCTCACCACCCTCCAGAGGAGCCAACAGAGACCCAGGCTGTGCCCAATCAGAGCTAGTGATCCTAAACCCAGGGCACCCTCGGCACCCCCCAGGACTCTGAGTCAGAAGCTGGGCTGGGCCTTGCTAGGACTCCCTTCTGTGCACCACCACCCGCATGTGGTGAAGGGGGTCCCAGCTTTAGCTCTGGAGATGAAAAATGGGAAAATACTGTATAGAATATAAGTCAGCAAGGACTTGTTCTTTGTTTGAGGGACTCAGAGGGAGATTTTGGTTCCGTGAGGTAAGGTTCTCACCACCATCCTTGACCCCTTATAAATACATTTTTGTCAGCTTATTGCCACTACCATATCTGGGGGTCCTGGATCTGTAGTCAGGGGCTGGCAGATCTTCCTTTAATCACCCAAGGAAAAAAAGTTTCCTGCTACATTTAAAATTGCTTTTTCCTCTTCTTAATACAAAACAAAAATATAGGCTCCCACCAGGCTGACGTTCCTTTTAAATAACATTTTGTTTTCTCTTGGGGAAGCTGTCTTCATGGCCAAAGAGTCATTTCTAAAGTGAACCTAGTTTTTAGAAAAAATAGATCACCGGATGTCAAGCCTCATGTGGAGCTCGGTTCAGATGAAAATGAAACCAGCAGGCCTGGAGTGGCAGCTCCACACTTGACTTCAGGCTGGAGGTGAGAGGCAGAGTGTCTGGACCCGGCTCACTAACTGGTCAGCCTCACAGAGTGCATTTGATAGGTGCTTTAGTCATTTTCCAGGCAGCTTTGCTTAGGTGAGCAGAGCACTTTCTCTAGAAGGTGAGTCACCCGTGCAGGGGTGTAGGTGACAGGCAACTTATTCCCCAGCACAATGGCAAAGGAAGTCTTGAGCAGACCTTGTCAAGAAGCCCTCTGCCACGGGGCAGCTGGCTGGCTCAGTCAGAAGAGCATGTGACTCTGGATCTGGGGGTCATGAGTTCGAGCCCCATGGTGGGCTTAGAGATTACTAAAAAAATAATAATAAATAAACTTAAAAAAAAAAAAAGAAGCCCTCTGCCAAAGATCACTTTTATTTCAGCTGAAGGGCTTTGGAGGCAGGGATAAGGAAACAAATGGGAAGCTCCCAAGGTTTGC